TGTGTGTGTGTGTGTGTGTTTTATTTTATTGTTGTATGTATATCATTGTTTTGAAATTGCTCTGTTAACAATAAATTAATATTACATTTTTAAATTGTTTTTACCGCCAAAATGGCCACCATCTTGGAATTTTTGTGATGACGCCATCATTCCGATTACATTTTTTAACGAGATTGAAGAGTAACTATTTAGCCAAGTTCTTGTTACATTTGATATACAGTACAAGCATATGTAAAAGTGACTAAAAACATACATTTATTTCCCCTACTCCATCTTAATTAATCCAAAATAGGATATTTTATGTCAAAATTTCAAAGTGCTATAAAAATAATTGCCCAAGCTCTAAGAATGGGGATTTTTTTTTTCTGAGACACTATATGATATATTGATTCAGAAAAACCAAAAATAAATTTTCCTTTATTTTTTTTCCCCGCTAAATTCCTACTGCACCCAGGCTAGTGTTCAACGAGGTCGCGATTCTCAGCTGAATATAATCCGTAATAACGAATTAGTAATTCGTATTTACGGATTACTAATTCGCAATAACGAATTAGTTAATTCGTAATACGGATTAATAATTCGTAATTACGAATTAGTAATCCGTAATTACGTATTAGTAATTCGTTATTACGGATTACGGAACATATACTTTATTGGCACTAATGGGCTTTCGTATCTTTGCGAACATTCTAAAGAAACAAATATGTTGATACGACCCTCCGTTAAGGATTTATGATTTTTTAAGTAACGAAATATGGCCATTGCTATTGGTTACGCTTCGCTGCTCAGCATTGTTTGTCATCAATCGAATAGGTCTACCACCGCAGCGTGAAAAAGGCGTACTTTATGTGTACTATATATATAATAGTATAGGCCTAACATATTTTTTAACTGTGTTTCCATTTCTAATTTCATTTAATAGTGGAATGCCCACCATTTGCAGAATAGTGTCAAAAATAAGAGCAAACAGTAAAACTACTTTAGGAATCGTATTCAAAGTTTTTGCTTTCGCCGTGTTAATACCGCAAATACCACCGCTCACTTTCCTTGAGTTTCCAACTGTTGTTCATTCATTGAAGCATCAATTCTCTAACAAAGGTTCATAATATTCAAACTCACGATGTATATGTAATGACGAAAGCGACGTTACCTCCGAAGTTCTATTGCGGGGTCAACATGTGACGTCTATGCCTAGTTAGCATTTATTAATTTGGTTTAACAGTGTACATCAAAATATAAGGTAAATGTAACCTGATCGTTGTGTTTGTAGGCTAGGCATATAAAAATAAAATTACGTATAATATTATACCTCTGCTTCTCTTTCGTTTAGTCGGGGGCATAAATGCTTCTGGTAAATGAACCTGTAATTAAACAATAATTTATTTATTTTAACGGATATTAAATACTGGTGTATCTTCATTAAAATAAAATACAGCATAGACAAGTACATGCAGTTGATATAGGGCCTACTTCCCAAATGCTTGCATTCTAAAATTTATTTTACATTAGGGCTTATATAAACATCTCACTATCATGTACTACCCCATCAATAACATTAGTTAATATTACCAACCTCTTTATCATTCATAAAATGTATAGGCCAGGTAATAATCTAGAACAGTGGTTCCCAACCTGGGGTCCGCGAAAAATAACTATTGGTCCGCCAAGTCAAGGGGGTCCGCAGGGGCCCGCGGAAATTGTGGGGGTCCGCAAAAATGTTGGGAGTCCTCTAGATTATTAGAACAACTTTTTCATGATTCCATTATGTTTTCTTGTCTAATACAATAGTGTGATCATGCCTTGATAATAATGCAATACCTTTGACAGGCATGGCTTCGTTCACTGTAAATTGTTTTAACTGGCATTAGGTCTATATTTTAATTCCAATATTTTATTGGTGATCTCATATAATCTTTTAAATTTTTTTGTGTATTCTCCATGTAAATATGTTTAGTAGAGGAGAGCCACTTAAATAGTAGCAATCCACAGGTAATGTACATCTTGTTTCCATGTTTTCTCTTGTATTGCTTTTAACTGGATATTGAATAATTTTTTTAAATGACGAGGGAGCCCTAAATTTGACAAAGTTAAAGTAAATAGGGGAATAACCAAATACCAATTCAAGTTTTGAAAGTGTCATTTCCGCCATCTACAAGTTCCATAAACATAACAATTTCCTACCTCAGCCCCAACCAGGATGAGGCTGAGGTACCGTAAATCCCCTATTTGTTTACTGTCTAGAGGACTCCCAACATTTTTGCGGACCCCCACAATTTCCGCGGGCCCCTGCGGACCCCCTTGACTTGGCGGACCAATAATTATTTTTCGCGGACTCCAGGTTGGGAACCACTGTTCTAGATTATTACCTGGCCTATACATTTTATGAATGATAAAGAGGTTGGTAATATTAACTAATGTTATTGATGGGGTAGTACATGATAGTGAGATGTTTATATAAGCCCTAATGTAAAATAAATTTTAGAATGCAAGCATTTGGGAAGTAGGCCCTATATCAACTGCATGTACTTAGAGATGTCTATGCTGTATTTTATTTTAATGAAGATACACCAGTATTTAATATCCGTTAAAATAAATAAATTATTGTTTAATTACAGGTTCATTTACCAGAAGCATTTATGCCCCCGACTAAACGAAAGAGAAGCAGAGGTATAATATTATACGTAATTTTATTTTTATATGCCTAGCCTACAAACACAACGATCAGGTTGCATTTACCTTATATTTTGATGTACACTGTTAAACCAAATTAATAAATGCTAACTAGGCATAGACGTCACATGTTGACCCCGCAATAGAACTTCGGAGGTAACGTCGCTTTCGTCATTACATATCCATCGTGAGTTTGAATATTATGAACCTTTGTTAGAGAATTGATGCTTTAATGAATGAACAACAGTTGGAAACTCAAGGAAAGTGAGCGGTGGTATTTGCGGTATTAACACGGCGAAAGCAAAAACTTTGAATACGATTCCTAAAGTAGTTTTAATGTTTGCTCTTATTTTTTGACACTATTCTGCAAATGGTGGGCATTCCACTATTAAATGAAATTAGAAATGGAAACACAGTTAAAAAAATATGTTAGGCCTATACTATTATATATATAGTACACATAATTCTGTCTCTTATACACATCTAGATGTGTATAAGAGACAGTATTTGAACTTTATAGTTGTCATACCTGAAGTACAAATGCTTTTATATATATTTTTAACATTAAACTGTCATAAGGCACGCATAACAAAAGTACGGTAAACTAACGCCCTTGTCACACGAAAATTACACTTTTGTTTGCTGCAGTTTAATTTCGTTTGTCTTCGTTCGTGTTAAGTAAATTTTTCAAAATCTGAAGAGATTATGCGACCCATCATTTTTTTTTTTCGCGACCCAAACTTTGAGTCGCGAACCCATAGGTTGCGGAACGGTGGATTAGAGCGTAGCAGGGCCGAGACGCGCTCTGCCACCAGCCGTGAACGTACAGTATTGCCGATTTACAACAAGCAATAATGTGATAAAAAGAAGAATAATCTATACATGCCATGAAATGACTTAAAACATTATTTTCATCACGATTGACAGAAAAAAAAAATTGGGTCTTCGTTTTTCGCGCCTTCGGTCTTCGTTTTGTAGATACCCATAGGCCAGGGTGTCAATAAAAAGAAGACCCCCGGTCAATTCACAAACAAAATTTCGAAGAATCTCGTAATTATGATTTTGTGACAGCCTGGTGTAGTATCATTTAAAAAAGATTAAGAAATGTGGGTCTTCGTTTTTATGGTCTTCGGTCTTCGTTTTGTCTACACTCATTGTGTCTATAAAACGAAGACCATTTAGTATTTCTTGATAGGCCTATTCCTCATTTTATTCCGATGAAATAATGAAATAGGTAGCCATATACTTAACAATTTTTTTTAATTAGATAATTGAGAAATAATTGGGAGGTCTTCGTTTTACAAGTTTTCGGCCTTCGTTTTGCGACAGACAGGCCAAGTGTTATTCGCACCTAGGTTTTCTCGAGGTAGGCCTATTGATTAACATGCAAAAAATCACTACTTTTGGTAACACCTGCACTGCTGATAGGCTTATGCTATTTATTATCGAAATGACAAATATATGTTACCATCGGGATTCGAACCCAAGACGGAGGTAGCGCTAGTGGGGGGGGGGGGTTTCCAGGGGAAAGTACCCCCGAACCCATCGGGGACCTCTGGACCTCCCGCTTGGACCTTCCTGTTGAAGAATTTCCAGCAAGGTCGTCGGGGAAAAATCAAATCTCGAGCTCCACTGTAGTACAATTCAAGCATGTCTTACTAGGCTTGTCAACATTTTAGGGAATAAAAACTGTGTAGTGCAAGCAATCCCCCAACAAATTAAATTTTTCCCCGACCGGGAAGGGTGGTTATGAGGGTGTGTTTGATCATGAAACAAGCATAAATTTACCACAGCAGATGTAGATGCAACATAACTGGATGAAGATGGTCTTTCTACATCAGAAACAAATTCAGATTTGTTTTGTTCACTGTTTGGCTGTTTCAACTTCTTTGCAACATTTGCTGCAATACCGTACTCAAGTGTCTGCTTGGCTTGTTCACAAACTGTACACAATTGAAAAGTTACCCATGAATAAGGTCATTAAATCATAGTATAATCAACAGAATCACACAGTTAGGCTTTGAACATAGTACGGTAATAAAATTATTGCGTGGCAGTGTGGCTTAGGCGGTGGTTCCTGAAAAGTAAACGAATAATCCCAGGTTCAAATCCGGGCAGGGGTCCTTTAAGGTCTAGCTGAGCGTTTGCTGCGAGGATGCTTCTTGTGTTGTAAGGCCCCATAAAAAAAATGATTAGTTTATCATCCCCGCGCGCATCTCTTTTGACGAAATCGCGATTTTTTTTTTTTTTTTTTACTAGATTTTTTTCATTGAAAAAACGATCGTTTGTTCGTCAATTATTACGTGGCAGTGTGGCTTAGGCGTCGGTGGTTCGTGAAAAGTAAACGAATAATCCCAGGTTCAAATCCGGGCAGGGGTCCTTTAAGGTCTAGCTGAGCGTTTGCTGCGAGGATGCTTCTTGTGCTGTAAACACCCGTTGAAACCCGACAAGTCGATTTTCAAGTGCAATTTTCTCGAATAATCCTCACATTGTGAATTAGGCTCAATATACATCCGTGTGTATCCCGTTACACATTGTGTGGCTGCAACAGGTACCCAGGGGCCCAAACCAAATAAATATTTTATTTCCAAATTTAATGAACACAAATAAAGGATTTTAATTATTATCACATAATTTAGGTTTAGTATTATAAATCATACCGTCTACATCCTTCTGCTCCTCCCATTTGCTGTAATCTCCATCAGTTTGAAAGACAGTAGTTGTAACAATACCATTGGTTGACGGCTCATGCATATCAAAACTATGATGATGAAAGTTTTACATCATCATGATAGAAGTGAATAATAATTTTGTCAGCAACAAAAAAAATTATAATTATAGTGATTGGTTTATAGCATTTCTAAAATAACAAATAATTATAACCAACAAAACGGATATAGAATATAACTTATAGGAAAAAAAATCCTTACCTGCAGTACAAACTGGTGATTAATATTCGAAATGCAAAAACAACAATAAATTTCGCAGTTGCTGCTATTAAATCCCAATTGCATAATAAAGTAAAGTCGTGTCATCCGCCACTCGACCCCGTTACCTAGCAACAACTTTACCACGGAAAGTTACAAGTAAACTTATACGCGCACACTAGCGCGTGCATGTTAAAAGTTGAGTAGAAAACGAACGTACACTGTAATGTTAAAACTAACAGAAAAAAAGCAAGTAAAGTAAATCGATATAAAGTACAAAACCTAATACATCCGATTGTACTTACTCTTTCCCAAGCATGGCTTTGACACAAGATGTTTTTCCGGAACCCTCGTTACCTAAAAACATCATTCTTGAATTAACAACTGTTATTTCACCAGTTTTAAGTGCATCTTTGAATGCTTTGACGGCTTCGGGACCCCTGGCTAAAATCTCTGACGGAATTGATAGTTCTAATTAATATAAAAATAAGAATCAAATATTTAGTATGTTGTCCTTCTATACTTTTTATTTAATTCACTTTCTAAATTACATTTTAATTAATTACGATTAACATTTCTTACAATTCTCAATCACAATGCAACTGAATTGAAATAATATAGTAGTGTATAATAATATTAGAAAGTAAATGTAATGAGTAATATGTCTGTTAAATGTGGTTTAAACAGGTCATTATCGTACCTTTAAGTAGTTCTTTCAACTCCTCCTTTTTCTTGGTTTTCGTGGTTTCTTCGTAATTTACACATTCGTTATCATGATACACATCAAGAGGCGTCTTTCCATCCTGCAATAACAGACACGAGCACGCGATGATTCGTTTCATTGCACGACGGTTGCAAATTAAATCAACAAAAAAACAGTGGTACCGTATATTTTGGTTTAAAAACCATAATGATATAATAATAAAATGGTAAATAATAATTTAAATAATCAACACTATGAGCATTACAACTTTATATCTATTGTTGTAAATTACTATCACATCACATCGGAGAAAAAATATTTATTGAAATCATACTTAAAAAAATCATTATCATTACAATATTCGCTAACATTTTAATCGATTAATGTTTTATGAATTTATATTTATTACGTTGGTTTTAATTAGTAAAAATGTTTCAAGTAGTTTCATATACAGTTGTTGTATTAAGGTCATTGACTGATATTCTTTTGATGCATTTCATTTTTCTGTACATTACCTTATTTTTTATTGTCACTGACGCACCAAAGGTGATATTGATAATTGCGAGTTCCTTGTGTTCCTCGTGCGTCAGCCACTGATTCTCTAGACTGTAATGTAGTGGTGTGCGTCCAAGCTGCAATGAAATGATAATCAACGTCAAGTTTGCTGAACACGCACAACACAAGAATATCAATTAACAAATATTACGCAAACGTAAAAGACCTGAAATAATTTATAACCATAATAGGCCTACTTAATTATCGCCAATGAAATATGTAATAATAATAATAATATAGACCTATAAAAATGTATTATAATAAAATTGATGATTATAATAATGAAGATGGTGATGATAATATTATGAGGACAGATACTTTTATGAATATTTAAATAATGAAATGATACTATTCCAGCTAATAATAATAATTACAACGAAGTGATGCCGATGACGATAATGATGATGATGATAATGACACTAACAATAGTAATACAATACTGTATTAATTATGGTGTGTCTATTAAAAACATGTTATTGTAATATAGCTAATTATATTTTATTATGACGGGCAGTACTTTAAAGGTATACAAAATACAATGTTTAAAAAATATAATCTAAACCAGTTGTAAATATAATAAATTATACCACGGTATTACATCCAATAATATTAGATTACTATTACAAAATTAGAACGTGATGTATTGAATGTGTTTGTGAGTGAATTAATGTTAATTTGTTAGCAATGAATAAAGTGTTGTTTTCTTCTACTGTACTCACGTTTTCTTGCGTGTTAATCTTCTTGTTGGTTTTTTCCAACACGCGTCTCATTGCTGACACGCGTGCGAGGAACGCCAAGCGATGGAGAATAGTGGAACCAGCACGACGCTACAAGACAAACGTAGAATATGATGAGAAAGAAATAATAAACAACAACAAGAAACTATACACACACCACATATCAACAACACATAACAACTCACAAACATCACACATACATTACTTATTACATTCATCATTATTAAATACTAATTACATTATTTAATATTTTTTAAATGTGGTTTTTTAGGCGAAATCGCGCAAAAAATATTTGTATCAATTGGCCTATGTTTTACACACAATAGTAAAATATTTCCAAATCGGGATTTTTAGCGACAATACTTTTTGTGAAAAATATCAATTTTATTGTCACCAATTTATTCAGTTAACTGTATTAAGCAGAACAAATCCAAGCATGACTATTTTTGTAAGTGTAATATGTATTTTTTTCACAATATTTCATATGAATTAGTGATAATGGCCAGAGCATAGGCACTTTGAGTTATTTGTATGTTTTATGATGTGTACACATGTTGTGTGCTTGTGATGTTTAAAATGTAATGATATTTAATTCCACTCACCGAATGTTCTAAATTATCTTTAGTCGCTGTTTCAATCATATTCTCTAATAAATCATCTGGTGCAATGATATTTAATTCTACTCACCTCCTGGTGTTCTAAACACTCAACTGTTGCCGTTTCAATCATATTCTCCAACACATCATCTGGTGCTCCCGGCTGCACAGCGCGCATTAATGGCGTCCAGCCGTTCTACGAAAACAAACATTACATTGAATTACGATACAGTTCATACAACTACCAACATTATTTTTTACGAGTTTCAATATTTCAATGGTACGATAATATTCCAATATGATTTAAGAATTATTATATTATAAACAGTTAAAAATGTGTGTTATAATACGCATATTCATTTAAATTCATTTTATTTTTTTTTCATAATTAGGAGTTAAAATAAGAACATCAAATACTGTAATATTCTTTATAAGTGATTTGGAAAAGGAAGTAGGTCTAGACATAAACTAATAGTTGTTGGGCCATGCTAGTGGTGAATTCAAGGGTCGGAGTTCAGCCGGCTCGCCCCCCCCCCCCTAAATTTTTCAAAATTGTAAAGAATTGGAGAAAAACGGAAAATCATTTTCAAATTTAAGTCTCAGAGTGCCATTTCCCGTCACCTAGAGGTTCCATAATCGTAAATTTTCTTACCTCAGCTCCAATTATGCTGGGGTCATCATTCCTGATGATGACATAATTAATGTCGAAATATTGAATCCCGACACGATGTTAGTACAGTGTTATAGTAGGCCCTATTATATGCCTTGTAAATGGTTCGTGCGTGAACCATGTAATTATTGATAAGTTATTTTGAAGAGAAGGTACGGTACTGTGTCAGTGAATAGGTCTAAACATAAACGTATATATGTTGGATCATGGTTTGTGTTTTGTTTTTAAAATTGATATTAGCATGTCTATGTTTTATCAGTACAGTATATATAGTAGGCCCTATGCCTTGTAAATTGTTCGTGCGTGAACCACGTATTAACATTTTATAAAAACAGGAGAATACCTGACAACGGCGCGTGTAAATAATTTCAATTTTAAATTTGAATTTTCTTTATTTATTTATTTGGTTTTTTTTTTTTAAATTTAAAGGCCTACTCATTAACTAAAAAGAACAGCACGAGTAAAACAAGTAGGAACAATTAGAGTAGATAAATCATTTAGTACGAAAGTCCCTAGACAGAATGCCGCATGCCCAGTTTAGTAGTTTACGCAAAGAATATTAGAACATATTATTTTTGTACGTTTGTAAAATAACGTTTTTTTTAATTGAAACTTTTAACACAATAAAATACACAATGTAAGTAATTTAAATATAATAAATAATATTTTCGAAAAAAAAAATCATTAGTTTATCACCCCTCCCTCGTCACTTTTAGGAAAATTCTTTTGACAATGACAGTCAGTTATTTAAACATAACATGTGATCAAATTATTGATATAATACTATTTTTAAAAATTCATTTAATTAATGGACTTTTTCTTGAGAAATGAAAATGAAATCAACATTTAAATGATGTGTATATACTAATAAATTTAGATAAAATATTAACCAGAATAAATAAATATATACGAACCAAATGCAAAAAACCAAAAAAAACTACCTCCCTCATCAGTTTTTATTCGTTGATAGGTTGATAAACTAAGAATTATTTTTTATGTCGCCTTAGCTAACACATGGAAGTTTTTTGTGTTTGGATTTTTAAATAACTAGGAATAGGCCTATGCCTATAATACTGTTACTAAAATTGCATTGTTGCTTTAAGTTCTTATGTATTTATTTATTCTGGTTACTATTTCATCAAAATTCATTAGTAAATAAACATCATTTAATTATTGATATCGTTTTCATTTCTCAAGAAAAAGTCCATTAATTAAATGAATTTTTAAAAATAGTACTAATCCCATATTAATAATTTGATCACATGTTATGTTTAAATAACTGACTGTCACAGCTATTTTAAAATAACCTATATTAGATGAATATTAACACCAGAGACGAGGTTTATTGTGTTACGAAACAGGAAAAGCATTCCACAACTGACTGATAAGTATTTAAGTTTTGACATTTGAAATGAAGAGTGAGACGAACTTCCAATTTAAATCAACCAATACGATATTATTAAAAAATTATCTAATTAACACATTATAAAATCAAACCCCACTAATAAGATTTATTTACTTATGACCTGAAGTTTACTTACAACCATTCATCGCCAATTATTATTGATATTTTTATTTTATTTACAACTTAACAAAAAGTATGTGTATTATCCATTGATAGACCTATTATATAGTCGTATTAAAAATTGTTTACGTTTTTATCCTGTATTTCGCTTTATGAACGCATAGTGCCTCATTCAATTACTTTGTATACTGTTTTTTGTATTTATATTGTTTTATTTTATAAGCACGGGAAAGCAAATTTTATTTATATTTTTTCATGTGACAATAATATCTATCTTGAATTTTGAATCTTGATATTGAATGCCATCGATATTGTAAAAGTGCAAGTTCAAATAAATATTATTGAACTACAGAGGGCGGTAGACTCGTTTTTTTAGTTATCAGAGAAACTTGTCAATGCGGAAGTTTATCAACTAACGGACTAATTTGTAGGCCTAATATAAATAAAATGTATATTGGTCACACGGCTTGTAAGAATGACAATGTGGTTTAATTATGGTTTAATTGAGCATGGTGCATTTTAAACGAGGTTCTTTGTAAAAAGCACATATTGTGGGAATTTTTATATTTCTTTAGTAAAGTGAGAATGCTATTGTGTGGAGGATAGTAATAAATGCTCAAAATAAAGGTATTTATAAGCCCCGAAACCTAAATACCGGGCTGTGTTCAGCGTTAGATAGTTTTACCATTTATTAAGTAAAGTAATAATATTGGTTACAATATTAGAATAATGGTTTGAAGACAAAAACATCAAATAGACCCCTTCATCTATGAGATGGCCAAATATTATTCACCAATCATGGTTAAATTAAGTACTAATAATAAATTTCTGTATAAAAACCATCAATATTGTTTCTTTGACTTTGTATTCCCAAATAATCAAGCGATATTTTTTCAAGTACTATCGATTGTTATTTTTCAAATTTATTTTACTCCAGTATTATGTTTCTGGTTATGTTCTTATCGGGTTAAAGGTTTATCCAGCTTTATTAGTAAATAAGCATATCTTCATGGTTGGTTAATTTCAGCATAGAATCGGGAATTTCCTTTTTTTTTTTATTGATTTAATCCGTTGATTATGTATCTTTATCAATAATATCTTATTCTGAAGCCTCTGATTACAGTAAAACACGATTAATGTTTAAATAAATGGCATTTTAGTCTATAATATGGGACACTCATGGTATAGCCTCAGGCCTACATACAAATACTTCTGAAAAGGTCTAATGCGCTATAATATATAAATGCGAGACAATTACCATTAAACCCATGGCTGTTAATTATTTTAATTGGGACATTTGAAATGAAGAAAAATTATATAAATTTATTATAGATTTTGACTATCTAAGTCAAGCGCAATAATACACTACATATAATCATGATAAAATTATAACAGTATTAAAACTCATTACAATTTGTACGACATATATTGAACTAGAGAGGGCGCTAGACCGATTTATTTAGTTCTCAGCAGAGTCTTCGCGAACGTTTTGAATATTAAACCGCACAATTTTTAATTAATTAAAGAGAATGACAATTTTGTTTTCAATTCTGTAAGGCAGATTAATTTTTTTTTAATCATAAAAAACCCCAGAAAATAGGTACACATATTTTGTGCAAATAATTGTGAACTGTGTGTTGTGTTGGAACTGTATCTTATTTTAAAAATATGATCCAATAAAAATTCTGAAATCAAGAAAATCACTTCATAAATTTAACTTAGTACTTGCCTCATCCTGCGTTTCAATAAGATGAGGTTCATTTTCCAGGATGCTTGTTACTGCTGGCCAGTCCTTTCTCTCTATAGCCTGTACTAATTTGTTTCTGTGACATAACAAGCAAGGAAATGTATGAACTATTTTTCATTGTCATGTCATTGTAAATACAGTAATTGACTAAACCAGGTTTCTCATGAATATTAATTCTTGACATCACTGCTATCCTCATCACCATAAAAAATAGTTAATAACATGTTAATGATTAGATATTTCGCTAACAAATAATTATAATTAAGTTCTTTACAGTAACAACTTTTAATGTGTCTTTCAGTACATAATTGTACTCCTTTTAAGATTATAGTTATATTAGCTCGTTTACTTAATGTTTACTTGATACAAATTATTACACTAGAGTACTCACTCATCGTCGGGTAGAGTTTGTAAAATTATTATACATAATACAGTACTCACTGATCGCTTGGTAGAACGTCCATGGTTGTCGATGGTTTGTGACGTTCGTATTGATCGTGTCGAATAGTGAAATATCTGTGAATAGTGGTACAGCCTTATTTAATTAGAACGAATAAGTCAAAACCTAGCATACACAAACTTTACAATTTTCGAACAACTTGTAGGAACAAAATAGCGAATATTCAAAAGCTACATGATTGGCTGTCCTCGTCACGTGAATTTGAATTATTCCGCTTCTACTTCCTGTATGCCTCTATAAATCATTCGGTTGAATACATAATAAATTTAGAAAATATTGTATCATCCGACATGGCGAGTGAAAAAAATATAAGTGTAATAGGCCTAATAGTGAAAAAATAAAAAACTATTAAACAATGATAATTTTTGAAAAATAATAGGTATAATAACGACAATCATAAATATAATAAAATTGATTTAAAAAAATAGATGATTGCATTCTAGATGTTATAGAAACCTTTGTCTAAACCACTCTCGTTAGCTCGTCAGCTTCCTAGTGGGGACTTTCCAGAAAAAAACCACAAGGTACGGTACAAGGTACAAGGTACATACCCATACTTGATGACGGCCATTTGGGGCGAGCTCACGGATATATATATATATATATATA